AAAATTGAAATTACCCGATATTGCTCCCAAAGTCGTATAATTTCCCTTGGCCGGAGAAGATTATCAAAGCAACCTCAGCATCACAAAGAACAGAAATCTCTTGAGCTTTCTTCAACAAACCGCTCTTTCTCTTTCCGAACGTCACTTGCCTGTTTACCTTATTCTCGATCTTCTCCAACACCACTTTCCCTCGCCCCATATTGATCCCACCCTTTCTCTCGCCTAATTTGAGCTACATACATATATATATATATATATACACATTAATGCAAAAACCCTACACGACATACACGCGTGAAAATGAACACTGTCGAACGTGTAAAAAAGCTAGGGTTTTATGTTAGTTGTAAAGATTTATTGGACTTAGTACGTACATTCATTCGTACTTGGAAAGATGAATTTTTTCGGGCGCGCGAACGATTGAGTTGGCGTGGTAGTTTCTTGGCCATTTGCCTTTGAATTAATGCATTAAATTTCAGTAGTTAGTTTCTCTTTTAGAGCTTTTGTAGGTTGGGTTTTGCTAGAGAGATTATGAACTAGGAAATCAGTTAAGGTGAGAAATGAGGAAGAAGATATATAGTAATGTACTGTTTTATCTTTTTATTGTTGACCTGCTTATGGTTTTTTTAGGTGGGCTGTGGTATCTTGACTGGTATGAGCATCTGTATCATGGGCCTAATATGCCGAGAGTTATGAAGAAATGTGGCTCGTGTGATGTAATGGGCTGTCTCGTGGCCCATCAAAGCCCGATGCTTGTAACGAGCTAGGTGGGTGGTTGTGATTGGATATTAGAATTTTTTCGAAAAAATTTGTGTCATCCGGAAGAAGAGATGTAAAAACAGAAAAGCATTATATTATGAATATGTTTGTTAGAAATTTAAATAATAATAGTTATTTTCTTAATTGTTTAGTGAAAATGAAATTGTTGAGAAAAAAAAGTGAGATGAAATGAAATTTGTGGTATTTTCGATGAGATTATATTCCTAAACAGAGTGATATGAGGAGTCATGTGGCATTTTTCTATTCTCAACCTTTTAAGCAACTTAAAACTATGTGCAAAAATTATGCCCCCCTTATTATACACCTTTCAAAATCACAAATACAATACTGAACATTTATTTTATATACATTCTAAATATTTTTGAGAGAGTACTTATGAATGAAAACAGAGTATTTGTGATACTTCAAAGAATCAAAGGGACATCTAGACTAGAATTCAGCTTCTTGAATTGCAAACTAATTTTCCCAAAAAACACCCTAATAGAGGCACTGGAGAAAGGTTTTAAACACCTCTATCTGGGCTATTTAAATGTTCTGCTACCAGTAGACATTCATAGTACTTAAAGCACAGGAGAATAAGAAGAAACTCTAAAATAGCAAGAAATTGGTGAAAAATGCAAGTGGAAAAGCAAGCCAACATCGTAAAATACCTAGCCCAGAAGTTACAGCAAGTGTACGGTCCGGTTTTGTGCTGAAAGAAATGAGATAGAACAAGAAAATCGATAATATTTAGTAGCTAAACGATATGTCATCTCACATTCCCAAAATGATAAAGAACTTTTTGGCCCTCAAGAGAAACTTATAAAGCATATGAAATTGTGATCCTGCAATCATTCCCACATGGGAGGCCACCAAAATACTCAGAATAATCCTTACAATCTATGAACAAGAAAAAGGAAAAGAAACGAAAACCTGGAAAAAAAGCAGTACAGAACTCGAATTAGACAAGAAAGCCAAGACCATAAGAAGATCCATAGGTTGCAATTGGTAGATCGAATAAAAACAATCCCAACTTACGAGAGAGAGAGAATAACAGCAGGAAATAGCAAACCTAATCCTGCATTTTTCTAACCAACATTCTGGCACACTGCATCCTTCAACTCTTCATTGGAATTGATCGGCAGACCGTTGCACATACATGAGGCAGTAACTCAAAACAGAACAGTCAACTTATAATAAGAATTAAAAAGGCTCAAATCAGTAGAGGATGATCAAATCTTGTTCGGTATTTGCCTGGCAAGAATTTCACTTCTAATTGTGTCAAATATCGCATTCTAATTACAAAATTACCTTTAAGTTGGAATAAATCGGGATTTCTTAATCGGTTACCAGATACACACACTCCACACACTCTTGTTCCCTTTTGTCATTAAATAAACCAGCACTAGATTAATAAATCTAGGGTCAAAACTCAAAAGAAAGAAAAGATGTCTGCTACATGCTTTTCACAACCATATCGAAATCATGCAAACCAGTATCTTCTTCATTTACTGTACACAAACCCGAAACTCACCGGACCTTCTTGTGCGATTTGAACAAAAACCTTCCAGGAGGCGAATGTGAGAACTCCACCGGAAGCTGTGGACATGCCACATCACCCAACAGCATCCCTACCACCTCTCTCATCGACGGCCTGCGAGTCGGGGACTTCTGCAGGCACAGCAAAGCCACTGTGATACAAAGCAAAGCCTGCTTATCATCCATCGACTCTCGACTGATCCTCTCGTCAACCAAATCTAGAAGCTTCCCGGATCGCGCCAGGTGGCGAGCCCACGACAGCAGATTTGCCCGCTGGAACTCTGACACGGGTGATTCCGTCACCTGCAGAGGCCTCCGACCCGCGATCAGAACCAATAACAGAATCCCATAACTGTAGATATCACACTTTTCGGACACGTCAGCACCGTTACCATATTCGGGAGCAATGTAGCAAACAGTCCCTCTCATACTTGGTGTGCTGCTAATACCTCCGCTCACACTAACCGAATCGTAACTGATATTATTTCGCACTCTCCACACATCACCACTGTTCTTACTGCCTCTGCTGCTCCACCAGTTTTCGCTGCAAGAGTCTATGTCACTCGTTGACCCTTGTTTTTTCTTCTTCTTCTTTTTCGTCTTTGTTCTCTTATTATTTTTCTCCAGCTCAGCACAGTACTCCTCTTTCCACCATTCCCTTGGGGGCCGTCTCTTGTTTTTTTTCTTGGAATCATTTTCATCGTCTAGGGACACCCACCATTCGAGCTGCTTCCTTTTCTTCTTGCTCTTCTTGTTGACTTTCTTTTCAGAAGATTTGGAGCTCGAGGGGGTAAAGTTCCAGTCACTCTTGGGCATGTCTTTCTTGATCTCATTTCCAATCCACTCCATAACGTAATCCTTGACTTTCATTGAATCTCCATCAGAACCGGCATTCTGCTTCCACCACCATTCTTTGCCAGATATGCTCTTTTTCTTCTTGCTTTTCTGCCTGCTATCGATGCTAAGCTTGTCAAAAGTCCCTTCCGAGATGCTCGTTTTATCCTCCGGTGACCGGAGCTGTGTGTCCACTACAGCCTCTGGCGAAGTCTCGACTCCGACAATCACGCTCTCGGGTGATGTATCAAAATTAGAATGAACGCTGTTGTTTACTTCCTCAAACCCACTTGTCGTAATCACACTTTCTGCATCCTCCATCACAGATCCATTATCCTCCCCTGCCCAATTCGCCAAAGGGTTCTCATTCTGAAGTTCAGCTTCTACAATAACATTATCTTCTACCTTAAACCTCGCCAGCCCGAAATCGCCGATCTTGGCATTAAAAGCTCCATCCAGCAGGATATTGCTCGGCTTAATATCCCCGTGAATAATGGGTGGATCGCTAGAGTGATGCAAGTACTCCAACCATCTGGCAATGTTGAGAGCAATCGAGAACCGCTTGCCCCAATTCCTCAGCTCCTCACTCTTTTTATGGAAAAGGCAATCTTGCAGGCTACCGTTTTCCATGAGCTCGTAAATCAAAAGCATACGGCGTTTACTAGGGTTCGAGGAAAACCCCAAAACGGAGACGATGTACTTACAGTCGATCTTCGAGGCGAAAAGCAGCTCGTTCTGAAATTCGCGCTCCCCTTGAAGGGACCCCGCGTTCATGAGCTTCACGGCGACGCGGGAGGCGGCGAGGGGGAACTCTACGGAGCCGTGGGGGCCTGGCTTGAGCTCGCCTCGATAGACGGAGCCGAAGCCGCCCTGTCCGAGGCGGAGGGAAGGGGAAAAATTGGAGGTGGCGCGGCGTAGGAGGGAGTACGGGAGGCGATGGGGGGGCTTCCTGGAGTCGGTGTCGGAAGCGGCCGGCGCCGTGCGCTTTCGTGTGATCCGCCGGAAGCAGAGAACGAGGAGGATGAGGCAGGACAACGCCGCCGTCAGACCGCCGGCTAGAGGCGGGAGGAGGTGGTCAGTCCGGGAGACAGGCGCCGCTGGCGGGGAAAGGAGGCGGCGAGAGGGCATGGCGGCGATTATGACGGTGAAGGTGGTGAAGTTCGATGAGTACAGCGCGTGAGAGAGAGAGTGAGGGGAGGAAAAAAAGAAAGTGGAAAGAGGAGTTAATGCAGATTGAGACTGAAAAAGAAAACTGCTTTTCATTTGTTTACTGCTTCATAGCTTCACTGCGAAGCCATTTATTGGTGGTATCTTCCTTTTTAGTAGTCTGCATTTTTTGTGTTTAGTGACTTGTGAGAATAAACTTTTTTAGATGGACTATGTTGCAAATTTAGTTACACGTTTACTAGTATTCGATCCTGTCTCTTCCACATGTTTTGGCCTTAGCTGTGTTTCTCAATTGGCTTGAATCTATTCTTCGGACTATTCGTTTAGAGACAACTAATCGGCGGCAATATTGTCATATTTCACATGGCTCGATTTTAATAAATTTTACATCTTCTTTGTTTTAGTTCAAGAATTTCAAGATTGTTTGCACTGTCATTCTTTGAAAGATCAAACACTTCCTCATATATCCAATAATCGAGTCGGAAATGAATCCCTATTCGAGCACTATAGTTGCAAAACCGTGATGGCTATATTCAGTATTTCAAAATAAATGAAGCTAGCTAATATCATTCGTCAAACAATGAGTCAAGAAGAAATGCCTGCTTGTCGTGACAGGCAATAATTTTGTGAGTTGGAAGTTAATCTTTTATCCTATACGAAATTGTCTATATATAATTCTCTCATCGAATTATACTTTTAATTTGATAATCCACATATAGAACGCTTTAACTATATGAAAAACATCATACAATACAATAACTCTACCAGGCACATAGTACATAACTATAGTTACACTACGCAACAAAAGAACACATTCATCTCAAAAGAAAATTACATGGGCCTAAAGCCCCGGGAATCTCTTCAAACCCCCTTATTACTTACTCCACAACCACAAAAACCCATGTCCGAATACAAAACCGCGTAAGTGAGTGAGTGAATTCACAACGGCGGCATCCACATGATCACCACCGGGCTCCTCACCTTATGCACCCCGTCCTTCCACACTACCGACCCGAACTCTGGCTCTGTCTGCCTCGACCTCACCCTGAACGTCACACTATACGTCATCCTCTTCCTCTCCCCCGTGAACTCCATCCTCTCCGGCTCCACCTTCACGTACGCCCCTCTGAACGGCGACACCACCGCACGGTAACTAGACCCCGCGGGCCCCACGTTCGTAACCGTCCTCCTCACCGTCACCACCGTGCTCCCGTTGGCATTCTCCGGAAATACAACCGAGATCGCTGGGTAGTTCAAGTCCCCCGCGCCCGCGAATGAGCCGCGGCACGTCACGTTCGATGACCTGGCGAACACCGCCAGCTCGGAGCCCGTCAGTCCCTGCGTGCATAAAAACTCGAAGTAGTCGCGCGGCGTAATGTCGTAGATCAATCCCGGGTCGAGCGCCCGTATCGGGTTTATGTGACCCGCGCCGTGATCGAACGGAGTCGAGGCCGCGGAGGCTGCCGCGGCGTCCCTGAGCGGCCTGCGCGTGTTGTCGTGCACGTAGGCCGTCGTCATGAGAGCCGATTTGATGGCGGCCGGGCCCCACTCGGGCCGCCTCGACTTGATGAGCGCCGCGACCCCGCTCACGTGCGGGCACGACATGGATGTTCCGGAAAGTATGTTGAACCTCGTTCGCCGGCGGTCCGTCGCAAGGCCCGACGGCCCGGCCTCGCCAGTCCAGGCCGCCAGGATGTTCACTCCCGGGGCAACCATGTCGGGCTTCAGTATCTCCGGGGAGAGAATGTTCGGGCCCCGGGAGGAGAACGCGGCCACCACCGGAGACGGATGGACGCGGAGCTTCGTCCCGAGGAATTCTAGCGTGGCGGCCGCGGTTTTGCTTCTGTTGTTTTTCGCGGAAAGCGCGTATCGTTTGATGAGCTTTCCCGCGGACTCGCCGACGGCGGTTGCCGGGAGGAGGTGGCAGTCGGCTACGAGCTCCTCCCCGTTGGCGGCGGTGTTGGTCAGAATCATCCCGACTCCGCCCGCATCCTTCACGACCTGCCCCTTCTGCACTCGCGGGCTGATTCCCCTGTCGCATATCACGATTTTACCCGCGACAGACCGCGGGTCGAGCGTGCCCTCGAGGCACATCGAGCTCGGCGTTGGGTTCGAGCTCGTCGAGTTACTGTCCCCGTTGTAGACCAACGGGTACAGTCTATTTACGGAAAGATTCCGTCGGCCTTTATAAAGCGAAGCTCCGGTTAGAGACTCCCCGGAGCCGAGCTTTACGTTCGTCGGGAATTCCCTATCCATCGTGCTGGCGCCGACCGTCGCCACCCACGGCGAAACGTTCGTGAGGCTAATCGGGTCGGGTCCGCCATTCCCGGCCGAGCACGACACGAACACGCCTTTCTCCATGGCGGCGAAAGTCCCGACCGAGAGGCTGTCGCGGTAGTAAGACGAGACGCCGCCGCCCAACGAGATGGAGAGGACGTGGACTCCGTCGGCCACGGCGCGGTCGACCGCGGAGAGGATATCTGAGCTGAAGCACCCGCCGGCCCAGCAGACCTTGTAGGCCGCGATTCGGGCCCCGGGAGCCATCCCGCGGGCCGTGCCGCCAGCGTACCCGAGGAGGCTGGCTCCGCGGACGGGCGAACCCGCGACCGTGGCTGCCGTGTGGGTCCCGTGCCCGTCTTGGTCACGGGCAGACTTGAACTCTGCCTCCTCGTCGATTTTGCCGGAGGCCGCCTCGTAGCCGCGGTAGAATGAACGGGCGCCGACGATCTTGCGGTTGCAGTGGCGGCGGTCGAATGAGCGGCCAGTCTCGCAGGCGCCCCGCCAGCGAGGCGGGATGGGGCCCATGCCGGTGTCGTTGAAGCTCGGACTCTCGGGCCATATCCCGGTGTCGAGGACCCCAACGACCACGTCGTGGGCTGGGGGGCCGGCGGCGGCGGGGGGCTCGGGCTCGAGGCCGAGGAACAGAGGGCTTCGGGTGGTGTGTAGATGGTAAACGGTCTCGGGGAAGGTGGCAAGCACGGCTTCGTGGCGCTGCAGGTTTTGGGCCTCGTCGGAGGTGAGACGGGCGGCGAGGCCGTGGAAGGCTGATTGATAGGTGTAAATTATTCTGTCTTGCTGATAATCGTCTTCGTGGTCTGCTGTCGTGTGCGATGTTGTTACTGATTTTACCATGGACGAGTACCATTCGGAGTGGTCGGTGAATTGTTGGGGCTTGGCGGATTTGTCGACGTATACTATGTATGTTTTCTTGGTGGATGTGGCGAAGGTTGTGAGGAGATGGGCTGAGAGGAGGAGGAGGAGGAGAAGATATGGTTTTACGTTTTTTCCTGCCATNAGAAGGAGGAAGAAGAAGAAGAAAGACAAACGTGGGCTGAAATATAATGAGATGATAGTTAGGGTTTTGAAGTGAAGAATTTAAGGTAGTGAGGGAAAAAAAATTATCAGTAAAAGAGGGAATTGGGGGATGGGTCTGTGTTGTTGAGAGGTAATAAAGATGGTGGTTGCCTCATGAATGCTGTTTGCAGACTGAGATTTGAAATTGGGTTTGAAAAATGAGATAGCTCGAGCTTTAATTAGCTGAATTTTAGGAAACAAGATTTAACTTTTATCAATAAGGCTGGTTTATCAAGTAGTATGTGATATTTTCGTAAGACAAATAAATTAGCTTAGAGTATCTCCAATGATCAAATGTAATTGTAGTAAATTACACTTTATATTAAACAAATTTAGTAATGTTATCACTTTTAATCCTACACAACACAATGTAATCACAAATGTAGTGATAAGATGGATATATATAATATATACAATGTAGAAAAGAATGTTGTCATCCACATTCTCTTTCACATTCTAATCAATCAATTGAGAGATGAGAAAGAAATATTATTACTATTTTTAAAATATCTAATTATTTATTTATTTTTTGTTTCTTATTTATAATTTTTATATTTTTGCCGAGTGGACAATATTATGTTTCATCACATTGTACATTGTAGATAATTTTTAGATGTAAAGTTGTGAACTTAACAAATATCTTAAGTAGTTCACAATCCATCTAAATAATTGACATTTGTCAAAATTTATGTGATAACAACATTTATGCATTGGACATGCTCTTATAAAACTTATTTGATTTGTTTATAAGCTTACTGTAATTAAATAAGTTTCATTTAGTAAGACGGTCTTTTTGAACATGCTCGAACTTATCTTATAAATTTCTTTGGGTAACTTTTCAGAAAAGTTAATTAAATTTTTTATTTCAACTAGTTTATCAGCTAATTTTACTAAACACTTATAAGCTCAAAAGTTACTTATAAACTAGTAGGTCTATTTTTATGGTCCCCTTATTGACCTATGAATATGTCCCAACTCCCAACCCAATACCCAACATTATGCTTGGTTGCTATCCTTTATGACACAACTGCCAGAGCCTCTTTGCCATTAAAATCTTGAAGTTGATAGTGCAGTGAGGCGGAATCAGTCTTTAGAAGCCACTTAATCACACAATTAGTTACTGCAGAATATGTAAAGTAAATGAAAATTCTTGTAAAAAGCAGTCTAACGGTTAGGAGAGCCAATGCTTCATACATATTTTTTATTTTATTTTTTTCAATAAAAAGACATACTTATGCAATGAAATATACTTTGTTTATATTGTTCTTTAGAGCATGCTATTTGAATTTGAAAGTATGCATGCATGCATGCTTATTAAGAAGTGACTATATGTTATTATTAGAGCATTTTCAATGGACTATAATAAATTTTAATATTAGTTTTACTTTTCATATTACAATTGGTTTGTGTAGTCAAATAATCCATGAACATAGGATAGACACAAGCGAAACTCAAATTACACCATCAGGAGAAGGTAAATTTTGATATTAGTTTTACTTGTCATATTACAATCAACCAATGTATAATAATGATGCGTGTATAATTAAAATTTACAATGTGAAGTAGTTCATTCACACATAGAGAAGATAAATAAATAATTTACTAATTCTAAAGTTATTCGTTCATTTAATTATCGTTTTTTCTTCTTCATTATTATTAAATGTCAGGCTAAGTGGACAACATTGGACAATGTTACAAATTATTGACCTGGTCCTTTACATCTCACGAGATACCTGTTAATTTTATTGCATCATAGGATTTTTGTGGAGTTGGAGAGGTGGCGTATCTTTCAAATTTATTTTTACAATAGAAATTAAATAAAAATCTAATACAAAGTTATGTAGTAAAAAAAAGCTTAGTATCATTACTTCGCCATGAAGAATAAAAAAAAAAAAAAATGATGGGTGGGTATATATTAATGCACCCATTTTTACAAAAAGCTCAGTGCATTCCCTTTTGCTTTCGCTCATCAAAGTAATACTATTTAGTTTGGTAAAGCTGCAACCTGAAAAAGGAAAGATAAAAGAATAATAAAACTATAAAAGGGGAAAAGAGGAGGATAACCATTAGAAATAAGAGGATAAGCATTAGAGGAGACGTTGTAATTTTATTTTTTATTTTTTGTTGGCTTGTGGCTTCTTCTTGCACAGAGATTTAGATTGACCAACTATCAAATGTCGTCAACACCGCCGCTTGACTTCGATTATCTGCGTAACATAAGACTTGTATGTAGGTAAAAAATAATTTTTTCAAATGGTGTTTTGCTGAATGCATGTTATCTTCTTTAGTATATAAAATACTGTTGTGTTGATCCGCTCATTCTTTTCCATTTTTGTCACTTTAATAGGGAAGAGTTATCACTTATCCGTTATGGTAGGATGTTGAATGGTGATGTCAAAAATAGAACATAATCCATATGTTTTGTTCTTGGAAAAAAAAAATTTTAAAAAAAAAGATTGCAATTGAGAGTCTATCTTCACAAATAACTCAAACTTGATGCTTGATAAATGTTAGATTTATAGAACTTTAGGAAGTTACAAACGCACTTTAATTTTAATTCCTATATTATAAGTTAAATAATGTTATACTAACACAATATTCATGTACTACGCGGGTGGTTGATAAAATAGTTAAATGTACAATAAAAAAAATTATATATTTTGTTGAATTTAGAAAAAATAAATAAATAACAATATATAATAATTTATAATAAATAACTAAGTAAATTAACAATATTATTTTAAATTCTGAAAACTAATTTATAGACATCATTAATCTTATTTATAATATTTTTGTTTAAAACAATAACGAAATAAGATGAACAAAATACAAAATTTAGAAAGTAAAATTATATGCATATTATAGAAAGAAAATAATAAATAGATTTATATGGAATGATTTAAATATATTAAATATGTGTATATATATGGTAAGTCGAACCTAAGTTATTTGGTATAAAAAAATAAGTAATTTCTATCCAAGTCATATTACAAAGCATAATATTTTGTCATCTATTACTATATAATACGGAGAAGAAAAATTATTTGAACAATCCGAAAATAATCATTTCGTTTTCCCGCTTCAATATAGTGTTTTTCCCGCTTCTTCAATTCGTAAATTTTTTTTTTGAATTTTTTCAGCCCATGCAATTAGATAACCAATCAAATCGAATCTTTTAACATTCAATTTGGTAAGGTGTTCCCATTTTAGCATTCAAATCCGATTTCACTTCCTTTTTTTATGCCAATCAATCCAATTTTTTTGGTTGTTTCAAAATCTGTTTAGATTTATATTTTTATTTTATTAATATATTTGAAAGAGAATCAATAAATGTTTATCATAACTTTTAATTTAAAAATAAATTTGAATAAGCATACCTTTTACTTTATATGAAATTCAAAATTACATATTTTAAAATATTAATAAACGTTTATTATTTATTTTTTCCTTATGTGATATAATAGAATTTCGGTATTAAATTTGTAAATTCAAACATTTAAAGGAAAAGATTCCAAACAATTTTTTTGGGTAAATTTCATTTTATCTTGGTTTTCATTATCACATTTCTAACAAACTAATTAGTATTATATTTTTATCTGCATTATCTAACCGATTTTTAATGATACAATTAATATAATATCTTAACAAAAATCATTTGTCTAACCGGATTTATCTCTCTAACAAACTTGCCAATTTTTTTAAAATTAAAATGGTATGATTATTCTTATGGAGATACTTATCAATATATTAAATATTTAGAAACTTTTTTTAAAAAATGAGTTATCCCTCCTTTTACTTTATTTGAAATTCTGACTTATATTTTTAAATATATTATTATTTATTTTTTTACATGTAAACATTTATTATTTATTATCTAAGTGATAAATATTAGTGATTTATCTCTTTAATAATATTTATTATTTATTTTTTTCATTACGTGATATAATGTAAATTTGGTTACTAAATTTTTAAATTTAAACATTTAGGAAAAAACCACGAACAAATTTTTTGGTTACATTTCATTTTATTTTAACTTCCATATAATCACAATCTTAACAAACTAATTAGTATAATATTTTTTTTTACCCATTTTTATATAATCGGATTTCTTAAAATATAATTAATATAACATTTTAACTATTTAATCATTTGTATAACTTGATTTAACTCATTATCAAACTTGCCAAATTTTTTTTTAAATTAAAAAAAAAAATTGGAAGATTTTTATTTGTAAAATAATAAAAACTAGCTTTACTTTAAAGTCTGGATTATTTCCATTATTTTTTGTACGTTAACAATCATATATTTTGGATTATTGATTTAAAAAAACAAATCAAAACCGTAAGGTTTAATAATATTTCTTAAATAAAAAATATTGTATAAAGAAAAGTATTTAATATTATATATTTTTCATTGATTGTATTTATTTTATTTTCATAATAGACGAGATGTGAAAAATATAAATAATTATATTTAAAATAAAGTCTAGAAAATATTTAAAATATGAACTCTTCTGTGCATCGCACGGGATATACACTAGTTTAAGATTATAAAGCGTGCGAAATTGTTACTTAAGCTCCGCGCGTTCTAAAATTATATATAAGGTGGATTAGTTTATAGTTCTCATCTTCATCCCGCTCTTCAATTTCTTTGGCTCTGTGAAGAAATCAATATATGAAATTCTAAGTCGTTTA